TAGATGTGAAAACGGCCTTCCTTAATGGAGAATTAAAATAAGACATCTATATGGTTCAACCTGATGGTTTTCAGGTTAAAGGACATGAACACAAAATTTGTAAATTGAAAAGGTCTCTGTATGGACTCAAACAATCCTCTAGACAATGGTATTTAAAATTCCACCAGGCAATCCTTGAAATAGGATTTGAAGTAAGTGCTTTAGACCTTTGTGTATATATTTGGCCATGTCATGATAAACTAACAATTTTGTCACTCTATATAAATGATATTTTATTGGCAGAAAATTGTCCAAATATGATGAAATAAATCAAAGCGTACTTGGGATCCAAATTCGAAATGAAGGACATGGGTGAGGCTAATTATGTCTTGGGAATTAGAATCTCTAGAAATAGAAATTTTAGACTCTTATATTTGGATCAAGAAAAGTATCTGGAAAAGGTGATCAAGAGATTCAGTATGAATAATAGTAAGTCATTGAGCACTCCTGTCTGCATGGGTCAAAGTCTAAGTAAAGGTATGTGCCCTAGTTCAAATGAAAAAATATTTGAAATGAGTGAGGTCCCCTACGCCCAAGTTGTGGGTAGTTGCATGTGTGCTATGACAAGTACAAGGCCCAACATTTGTCATGCAGTAAGATTAGTAAGTAGATATCAATCCAATCCAAGAAGGGCACATTGGTAGGCAATGAAGAGAATATTTAGATACTTGAGAGGCAAGACAAGTATGAAATTGTATTTTGGATTAAATAATCTAGAAATTATTGGCTATACGGATGCAGACTTTGCAGGTGATGTAGATGATAGAAAATCTACAAGTGGCCATATATTTTTATATGGTGGAATGATTGTTTCTTGGCTAAATAAGAAGCAGGGTTGTGTTGCAAAGTACATAGTGGAGGCCAAATACATATCGTGCAGTACATCGGTAAGTAATGCTATTTGGATTAAACGCTTTATTGATAGTTTAAAGTTGGGTATACATAGTAAGCCAGTCAATGTGTTTTGTGACAGTAAGTTCATTATCTCTTTAATAAAAAGTGGAGTTAATAGTTTTAAAGGAAAACACATTGATGTAAATTATCACTACATTCAAGATATAATGGAGAGGGGTGAAATAAAAGTCGACTATATACTCTCGGAAGAGATGGTGGCTGACCCTATGACCAAGAGGTTGAGTCTGGAAAAATTCAGTGAGCATGTAACTGTAATGGGTTTAAGAAACACTTAGGTATTGCAGTATTATGTAATGAAGGGCTTCTTTAGAGAAATTTTGGAGATGCCTAAAATTTATAGAAAGATGCGTCTCTATTTGATTGGGGATATGAATTGGTCAGAAAAAAGGTAGAGGACACCAACAGGCATTCCAGAGCTATCGCATTCTCATGAGTGTAAAGTCCATTTTGAGGCACCATGAGATATCTGCATAATCACCTAAGGTGCATGGTGTATTAAGTTGTCGATAAGGTGTATTGAGGAAAACCTTTGCATGAGCTTTAGAGGACGTACTTGATCAAAATTTCGGGCGCAGGTCGACACATTGATTAAATTTGTGTTTGGCTGAAGTCGTTAATGATACTGAGGGTGTGGACCTTAGGATACCAATCACTTAGTTATAGAGTGAATTGAAGTCACTCTAGAGTATGCTATCAGCAAGGATAACATATGTGGAAGGGTGTGGTCAGACTTGAAGACAAAAGCGTGCGCACATAAGTCTATTGCTATGTTCTGATGTCAATTTGTAAATGGTTATGGATAACAAGTTGGTGAAAACAAAATTTTGGTACCAAAGGTAAACACCAACTTGAAAAACTCTTGAGTCATGTCCATATACGTTCAAGTGGGAGCTGTAAGTCGGTGAACTCATGAACATTAACCGGTGGTGTTTTCCCGTGTATAGGTAGGAGAGGAAGCGGTTGACGGCGATTACACTTGGCAACAACTACAACCATTGGTGGTGATTTGGGTCGGCAACAAACACAATCTTTGTCAAAGGTTGTGTGTCTTGTTTGAATGGTTGCATATTGGTAACCATTGAAAGTCTATTAATACATCTTTGATCATGAAAGACTTTATCTAACAAATATCCATAAAAACTTCTGATCAAATCGTTGAGTCGGCATATTTGTTTTCTCTTCGAGTGTGCGTGACCAACAATCTAACGATATTTTACCACCACTTGTATTACGTCTGACAATATCACGCATGACTAAATATAGATCTAATCATGTCAAGAAGTGTTCTATTTCTCCTTTCGGCTACACCGTTTTGTTAAGGTGTATAAGAAATTATTAATTGATGTATTATTCCATTTTATTTATAAAAAGATTCAAAAATTTCAGTCATGTATTCACCATCTTGGTTCATCCTTAATATTTTAATTTTTCTACCTAGTTGGTTTTCTACTTTCACCTTAAATTCAATAAATTTTTGTTTGACATCTTTTTCATTTTATTATAATTAATATGACCTAGCTAGTCTCCTATGCCATAAAATAGAATCAACATTAATATCACAAGAGACATCAATATAAGTAGAAGAAGAACCAATTTTATTATTGTCACTAGCAACATTCAAACGATAAAGACCATCAACTTTAGTCTCCCATGCATAAATACGACCATGTTTACCAATATAAACTTTAGAAGAACGAAAACGGACTTCAAAACCCTTATCATCTAATTGCGGCACAGACAAGAGATTGCGTTGCATATTAGGCGCATAAAGTACATCAATCAAGAGGAGGCTATTTTGTCCGGGCAACGAAATTCTCACAATGTCAATTACAAGCACATCATAGTAAGTATTATTCCTCATGTATAACTTGTGGTCGCTAGTTTTTATCTCATTTATTTCAACGAAATTATCTCTAGTTTTAGCCACATGCCGAGAAGAGGCAGAATTAATCCACCAAGCGAGAGAGTCACAATCTGCAAGAAGCGACTCAGAAACCACACACATAATGTCTCTTGATCCTTTAAAATTTGGACCATTATTCTTTTGTGTGCAATTTCTTTTATAATGACCGGGCTGCCCAGAGTTATAACAAGTATCCATTTGTTTTCCCTTAAAATTATTATGTCTCTTGAACTTGTTATATTTCTTATTATTTCTTTTAAAATACTTATCTTGTCTTGGCTTAAGAAAAGACGGAGTAGTTGACACATTATTAGATGGGGCACCCGTGACAAATTGGGAAGATGGAGCACTAGAAACTAGGTTTGACACATTACTAGTTTTCTTTTTAACCCTTCTCTCGGCCTCAATGTCTAGCAACATAGGTAACTTTGCCATTGTAATATATTAGCCAGATATATTCAAAGAAACCACAACGGACTCCCATGAATTAGGAATTGTCAAGAGATGTCAACTCTTTTGTTATTACCACAAGTATATTGACATGTTCAACAATAGACTCATCCTCTTTCATAAAAGTATCATTCTATTTTTCAATTAAGAGTTGAATATATGTGTTAGAGACAGTACCATAGGCTTATATTATAACATCAAACATAGATTTAACAGTTTCATGTTCATAAAAAATAACCTCTAAATCGAGTTTTATAAAAGTGAATAAGATTGATCTAGCTAATTTATCATTGTCTACAAACCTTTATTAGTGTTTCTAGCAGCCTTTCCGGCTCTAAGGAGTGATTCTTTCGGGTATGGTGTGTCAATGAAATATTCAACTCTATCTCGAAATAATATGTGACGAATTCTACGTTTTCAAGGTGAATTTGTATCATTAAGTCTCTCGGTTTTCTAAGTTCTACACTAGCAGCCTTTGACCTCATTTTGAAAAATTATAGAAAAATAAATTGCTAGGTAAAATTGGTTAAAACTGATCCGATTTAATTTTGTTACCAAAATGTGGTTCCAAGAGTGTTTCGAGTAAATTACAACACCAATTGCTTAAGCTAGTAGCACCAATTGTGACCAGATCCTTCAAAATTTGTTGCGAATAGGAGCTCTCGTCAGGAAATTTGCTACAATCAAGATACTCGCGACTGACTTGCCGAATTACTTGAACAGTTCATCAACTAGGAGGAATATTTTTTTGGCAAAAATTGATAGCTTAATAGGACGTTTCCAGAGGCAGTGTAGCAGAATGCAATAGAATTGATATTTGTTTGACAAAAGAATGTCAGGAAGCTTTTTGGGTAAAAAAAAAAAAAATTGGCCAAATTTTGATAAAACATATGTGTATAAAACTTCAAGTCTTTTACGGGCTTTTCTTCTTTGTAGAATGTGTAGGTATCTGAGACACCTAATATGGCAGAATGTTAGCGTCTGTCAAAACTTTCAGAGTTATTTTGACGGCAAAAAATAATTTGATCGACTGATGCTCGAATACTAATGTAGAAAATTTGAGGAACAAAATTTGATAAATTTAATAAAAGAGGAGCTAGTCTTTGAAAATTAAAAATTTTCTTTAATATGAAAACAGTAGAGTTGCATTTTTCCTCTATGGGTTTTCTTACAAATTAGGTATTTTTTTGATGTATTATCTCTGTATGTAGAGAATATATCAGTTAATCATTCAACTAACTGTTACCACTCAACATAATATTCTCAATTTTTTAATATTTTCTCAACTCTTTATAGTCAAATAAGACTAATTATACTCAAAGTAGGATTGCTTAGTCTTTCATTACTTGATGGGTCTCTCTAATCAAGTCGCTCATACTAACTAAAAAATATCTAACTCAAACATGAAATTATATTTAATACATAATAATTTCACAATAAATAAATCTATGATATATGTCATGAATAATATAATATTTAACCAATGGATTGAAATTTTACATGTTCTAAATTTGATCACCAACCGTGATTTAATTAATATTGAAACATTTTAACCACATATTCTAACACTATACAGACATACCGAGGAAGTCGTAAAATTACCACCTCTAGAATCTAACAATTACATTCGATAAGACGGGTAACAACAGTTACATTTGATTTCTTGTCAAAAGCTCCACCAATTTGTTCCCATATGGTATATCCATAGCATTATGAAGTTTCCAAGTACTTTGGTTCGGTACATCGTGTGTGTGTGAAAGAGAGAGCGAGAGAGAGAGACAGGTAACAACAGATAGATTAGATTGATCATCTATATACATAATATTCGTTTCATCCAACAAGCCTTCCTTACAGGTTTCCCAACTGGACAAATAGAGATGACAAAGGATTACACACTCTCTCTCTCTCTCATAGGCTTATTTGTAGTAGAGAGATGACTGCATTGACCAGGAAATCATCTCACCATCTCAGCAATCCCAGCTGCTCCACATGAAGAAGAAGCAGGGCCTGCTTGTATCCGTCTAGTATTGTAAGACTTGCACCTCAAGCATTTGTGCGCCACAATGTGGAAATGGACTTCGTCTATTGCCCCACAGTCATTGCACAAGATCCACACCTAATCATACACAAAACTCCAACTAATCAAATTTGCAGATGAAAACTGTGTTGCGGTGGTCCATTTTTAACACAATCACCGAGTTAGAAAAGACTACTTCTCGTCACGAATTTAAAAATACACAATCTATTAACTCGTTACAATGCGGGCTGATTACAAAACGGAGACAAGACAACATGATTTGCATTACTTACCATCTTGTTTTGGTACCTTTCCGGCATTGGAGTCGCTGCAACCTGAGTTCATTTTTGGATAAAAGAATGTCATGGTATGAAGCACATATTCTTCTAAGCGTCATAAACATTATTCTAAGAAACTAGAACACAAAACTCAATTGGTTGCTTGCCTCCTGATCAAGTTTTTCCCACAGTTTGGACATATCACAGATGGACTTTGAGCAAACAGGGCATTTATACCTGCGAATCACAAGCAAACAATAATCCCAATTAGTTAAATGTTGACAAAGGATACATAAAAACATGTAAACAAATCAAATGTTTTATCCTGATACAAAACGGAAAATGAGGTCTTTTCATTAGTTCTTACCGGTAATGTTGCTCCATCTCTTGCACGCATTCCAAATGTATCGGATGCCCACAGCGTAGAACAGTGATTTCTTTCCTCGTCTCAAATAAATACTGGTAAATTGAAATGCAAAAAATTATTCCCTAATACTAACAACATTGCTTTGAACTACTTTTTGTTGAATAGCATGGGCTTCTTGTAGTCTCATTGTACCTCAAAGCAAACTGGACAATTATGGTGCATTGCTCTTTCCACACAATGATGTGTGTCCTTGATTGATTTTGAATAGCAACATCCTGGACCAAGACACTATGGGAAGTTCCCTAAATCATTAATTGGTAAACAAAAAATGTGGAGCAACAGCTGGAAATTCCGAAACCGGGAATTAGGTGATCATACCACATTTGTTGCAATGAAAGAAATTGTCCTTGCCTCCAGTTCTGCAAAAGCAAACAATAAGAATGAATGCACAGAAACACTGTCATACACAGTGACACGTTCAATTAAGAAACTCTGAGCACTCAGCTTGCAGTAACATATAAAATTAGAGATAAACCAACCAAAATTGATGGTTATCAGTCACAAATGAGACAAGGCTATATTCCAGATGTTGCAAATATCAGCAATTCTTCCCTTGTTTATAACTAGAGCTTATGCTTGAACAAAATTTCGAAGATTCCAGATGGACCTTCTCTCTATGTTTTCCTTAAAGATGGAGCAAAATTGCAAAAATTGGGGAAATGGACCACCTCTCTTTGGTTTAGCAAGACTTTGCAAAGTAATTGCTCCATTCAAGCATTTATTTCAATTTTTTTGCAAGGGAATGTGTACCGAATAAGGAATGAGAATCTGACCTGCATATTCCACATTCGTAGCAGTGGTATTGGCTTTTTGAAACCTGAATTCATAACAAGTGTGTTATATAGGCAATCATCTTGATATGCAAAGATATAATTCACAAAAATTAGTAAGAAGATCTCAACAAGGCTTTCATCATCATCGAAGAATTTGCATTCTGCACAAAAATACTTCCCCATGCAAACACCACAACTTATGCAATACTGTTGAACCTAACAAAAAGGGAACACAAGTAAATCACAATCCAAGAATTCTCTAAGTTATTATTTATCATATTCTTGTGTCATGCTTTGTGAACTCACATCTTGTTCTGTGCTACAAAGGGAGCATATGACCTGAAAAGAAACTAAAAGAGAATGTGATTAGGAAAGAAAAGTATGATCATAGAATTTCGACTCATAGGTTTGGCAATCCAGTAGCAAATTTATTGGCAATGCGGGCGTTAGTTGTAATGATTTATGCATTTGAACTTGAAGGGTGGAGGAGGCTCCAAATTTCTTGTTAGACTCCCTGTGGAATGATGTATCTTTTTATTTTAGTAAATCCAATATGTTCCTTTACCATTCTTATCAATCAAAAAATTAAATTACTTAGCAAACCTTATCCAGTACCTGATGAATGGTGAAACTAATTTTACATTAATAGAAATCAATATCAGAAAACTGTAACAATCAATATGGGCAATTCAGTACCACTAGGACTTTTCAGTTCTGTCTCATTACTGAGTTATCCAAAGATTAGATTACAAGGTTATCCACTTGTGATGAAAATATCAACCAGAAATTCATAGTTTTGGCTTTTCAACACAGCTCTGCTTACCTTATTTAGGGAAAGAGGAGAAAAGAACATTCAAAGTGTATAGAGTACCATTATGGTACCAAAATGTCACTTTTTGGTATCATATCCCAATTTTTCATTTAGTAAAAACAAGTCATGCATAGAATTTTCTTATTTTTTTATCATTTTTTCAGTCAACGAGTGTAAATTATCCAAACCAAAATCAATGGCTAGTGTCAATTTCGGCATGGAATCTCCGTGTTACCTTAGCCTTATCATCCAAGTGTAAAAGGGACAAGCAATCAATTTTCAAGTGCCCCACGTTCATGCTCACATTCATGTAATTCTACTCCACTTTTCTTCCCCAGGACCACACACACACACACCGACACACACACTGATAGGTAATTTTGATTATATTGATATGTGTATGAAACCCACCTTTGTAACTTCATGGCGTGGGATATCATGCCGACGAAGAGGATCAATTTCTAGAGTGTTCTGTCAAATTACAGTTAGAAAGACAGAAGGAAGAGAACACATATATCAGAAGTCAGATTTAGCTGAATCACAACCTATCTTATTCAAATTGGAAAAGAGGAAGAAAGGATCAAAAGAAAAAAAAAAATGAAGATCATACCTTAGCTTCATTGTGGCAATGTTTGCAATCAAAGACCTCATCACAACATGGGGCTCTGATCTTGCATCTCCTCCTGTAATGTGTGCACCTAAAAACCCCACAAACAAAAAAAAAATCAAAAACCAAATTTACATTACAATTCACACAAACCCAGAGAGAGAGAAAGAGAGAGCTCCAATTTAAATGTACCAAAAAACTCAACAAGAACGTCCACTAAAAGAAGAGGAGGAGGATGAGAAAGCAAGAAGAAGAAGAAGAAGAAGAAGAAGAAGAAGGAATCAAGAAATACCCAAAATTGCCATAACCAAGCTCCATCAGAGATTCATCTTTGTCAAAAAATTCTAACCCAACAAAAGATGTTGGTTGTGGCTCAAATTCACTCCCCATTTCAGATTTTCACAATCTTTCTTCTTTATTCTGAAAACAACCACAAACAAAGAGCTTATATATAAATGTACAAGAAAAATCTGTGTTTTGGGTTGACACGTCAGAGAGCTTACCCGTTCAAAAGCTTTATCTTGTTGATTATAAATAGTAAGGTCACTTAATATAGAACTGGGCATTGATGGTGGGCAATTTGTATCTTTACGTACATGAAAATGGGTAATTTCACGCAATTAGAGCTTGTTTGAGAATGAGAAAGATAAGAGAGGTCGACAAGTTCACTACTACTGTGATGAACAGAACCGGTTCTACGTAAGTTGGGGTTGGGGTTGGGGTTGGAGTCGAGGGCGAGGGATACTGGTTTTTATATGGCGGGAAAGCAACGGCTGACTCTTGGCTTGGGGGATGAGGTTTGAATTAGGTAGAGAGTCCCACTCTCATTCCCACGACCTCCTCCTCCTTTTTTCACAATAAGAACATTACATCACGCGCTATATGCTTTTTTTTTTTTTTTTCTCTTTTAATAAGGGCAAAAATATTCTACCAAAATAAAAAAAACAAGGGCTAATTTTTATTAACATCTCGAAATATTTCTGTTTTTAAAGTGATGAAAATAAATCAGTGATTATAGTGAAATTTTAATGTTTTGATGTATTTTACAATTATTTTGGTATTTTTTTCATCAATATTTTAGATTATTTTGAGATATTTCAGTATATTTTTATAATTTTTTTAGAATTTTTTTAAAAATCAAAATTTAAGATTTTTCATCAACTCTCCCAAGAAGAGCGTCCGTAGTTTTTCGTACTCCGGATTGCATATAGGGTCTGAGAAAAGAGCTGGTGGCCGCCGAACCGCCCGTCGTTTTGGGCCATTTGGATCGAGCTTTTATGACATGGCTTCCTGGCCCACTTCCAATGGATACGAACAAATTTAAATGACAAGGCACCACTTCCTCAGTTCAATAATTCTGTCCACTTATGACGGCTTTTTACATCTGTTTTTTTAGAGTTAGTTTCCTTTTATTATTATTTTTAATTTTTTTTTTGGTTTTGTCTAAGGGGATCTATTATATATTTGGAATTATGTACTCATTAATTGTGAAAGATATATCAAAAAAAATTTTAAAAAAATATACAAAAATGGTCCATTTTTTTGACTGTTCTATACTTCGATTGAGTCGTAGCGTGCACAGAGAGAGAGAGAACACATAGCATCGGCGACACACAGAGAGAACACACAGCAAGAGAGAGAGGGGCAAACCTTTTCGGTTGAACAACAATGAAGGCTTGAATGAGGAAAACGATGATGGTAGAACAGTGAGCCTTCCTCTCTTCCTTGAGACCAGGCGACCAGCGACAGATGAGTAAAAGTGAAAAAGTGGAAGTGGATTAGGGTTATATTTTTTTTGTTGCTTTTATATATTTGGATAAATGGGTTAAACGGGTAATAAATGGGTAGGTCAGGATCGGGTCAAATTATATCAACTTGTTTAAAATATACGGGTTAATCAGGTCAAAATCGGATTGACCTGATTTCGACATGAACCTGACTTACTTTTTTTCGTGTTTATACTTGTTGACCCGTTTTTATTCATTGACCCATGTAATTTCGTGTTTGACCCATTAATTTTGTGTCCGATTCATGTCGTGTTAGCTTGTCATGTTGAAAATTGACAATCCTAGTCCGTGATATAAGACACGTGGTAGATAAGGAATGGTGGAGACCGTAAAACAACCACGACCTTTTGTGGAAGTGTTACATTTTGCCTAGTCAGCACATATGTGGGAGCTAGATATGCGTGTCAAATATGTTGGATAACATCATTTTATGTCGGAATAATTTTGAATTTGTATCAAAAATCTCAAAATACAAATGTAATATATTTAATAATCGTATCGAAATGTATAAACACTAATATGACCTGGCCATTAAACAGGTTACCCGAACCTGATCTGTTTGACACGGTTTAATAAAGTTGTCGTTTTTGGGGTAACACATATAACATGATCTATTTAACTTGTTTAGAACACATAACATAAACCTGTTTAACACACACAACTTGTTTTTACATCAGTTCATTACCATTAAATACATCATTCATCTAAAATTTCAAATAATTTTTTTACAAATAACATATCATATCTCATCAATGAAATTAACTAAAATACATTCAACTTTTAACCCAAAAATTAAAACAAAAACTATACTAGTATACTGTCATAATAATGTTAAAAACTATTCTGTCAATTATCATAGTAAAAGTAAAAATTAATAAGTAATAATGTTAAGACCACATCAGTCATACATAATATGCAAATTATACTGTTATAAACGAGTTAAATGGGTCTACAATGGAATAGGTTGGGTTCGTGTCCGAATCATACCAACCTGTTTAAAATATACAGGTTAATCAGGCCAAAATCAGGTTGACCTGATTTTGACATGAACCCGACATGATTTTTTTCGTGTTTAAGCTTGTTGACCCATTTTAACTTATTAACTCGTTTAATTTCGTGTTCGATTCTTATCGTGTTAACGTGTCGTGTCAAAAATTGACAGCCCTAGTGCTAAAGTAAATATTAAAAATTTATTTTGAATTTAATTAATTTTTTCTAATTCATTAGAATCTTTGAAGTGATTGTGATTTCTATAAAATAATAAAAATTAGTATTAATTCAATGACTATAATAAAATTACATCATTAGATTAATAAATTATGTCAAAAATTTAAGTTTAAATAATATTATTCAATTATCAAACGATTACATTATATCGTGATCCTCGAGCAGTGTTATCAATCAATAGTAAAAAAATTATTGACAAATATCATAAAATGTATATGATAAATAAAATTTCCTAATGGAGTTTATTTATCATATACATAAAAGTGTACCATATACATAAAATTTTATTTATCATATACATAAAACTTTACATAAGGTTTCTTTTATTATTGCACTATAACTACTGATGATGCGCAAAATTGGTTTGCACATCACCTATCACTTAAGTAATATAAAATGCAGTAAAGTAGAGGGAGAGAAAAGATTAAGTTTATACTGGGTCGGTTAATATGACCTATGTTCGCTTTGAATGGCAAGGGTCGCTGAAATTTTATTATTTCTGGTGTGGAGGGAGAGCACAAGATTACAAGCTTTGAGAGGGGAGGAGAAAATTATGCTTAAATGAGTTTGATGCCCCCAAGTGTTGGTAGGGCTTATAATTTATAGTGGCTTAGTATAATAATTGAATAGCTAATATGACGGTCATAACGGGTTGGGGCCGTTTAATAGTCATAATAGATTGGGGTGACTTTAACGATAATTAAATAGCTTGACGACCTCTCCTCTCCTCAATGGACAAGGATGCTCTCCAAAAGACTTGGTCAAAGGATGAGGGAAGATTGACTCTCTCCGAGTGGCGAGGGTGAGGCTCCTGAATGCTCCCTTACTCCAAGGTGGCGATGAGGCTCTTGGATGACCCTCTAAGGTGGTAGAGGAGACTCTTGGATGACCCTTACTTCAAGGTGGTAGAGGCGGCTCTTGGATGACCTTGAATGCTCCCTTTACTGATGTAGTTCCTTAATCTTGATAAGCTTGTATGGGTTGATCATATTGAGTTGGACTTGCTGGATCTCTTGGAGATGGGCCATAAAACTCGGACCGAGCTTATAATTTGAGTTAGACCCCTTGGGCTTGGCCCATCATTTGCCCCTCAATGCCCTGCGTCTAACGGAACTTAGAAAGGAGGGCATTCAATTTGAGTTTGAATTTTTGGCTGCTGGGCATAGTTGGTTGTAGGGCTCGCCGAGATCTTCGATTTGATATATTATAAGCTTCATTTCAAGTAACGTAGCAAATGTTATGGTCAAAATTTTGAGCAGAGAGATGGACGAGCGATTTAGACTAGCAGGCAGCTTCCGGATAAGCAAGGCATTGTTCTGGGCGAGTAGATTTTTTTTTTTTTTTAAACTTTGGGAGGTCAAAACACCTCTTTCTGGGCCTTTTTTGGACTTTTTTTGAAAAGCTCATCACCAAAGGTGATATTTTTTGCTCAGTTCGTCGAGAGCTTCGATTTGATATATAATAAGTCTTTTTTTGAGATTCGAATCAAGAGTTACAGTCAAAATAGCGTGCAGGGGTTGGGTGAATGGTTTTGGGCGAGCACATACTGTGTTGGGCAAGTAGACAACCTCTTGGGCAAGCTGATTTTTTTTTAAAAAAAAAACTTTAGGAGGCAAAAAGACATGTTTTTGGGCTTTTTTTGAAAAGCTCATTACCTATGGTAATGAGTTTTACTCATCTCGTCGAGAGCTTCGATTTGGTATGTAATAAGCCCTATTTTGTGTTATGGAGCAAAAATTGCAGTCAAAATAGCGTGCAACCCTTTTTAGATCCAAATTTTTTGAAAACTCCTCTTGATCGGCTACCCCATCCCTTCCAATAGACTCCTTTTACCTGTAGGACTCAATTGACTATATAAACTCCTTCTTTCACTTTCCTTTAGAATTTTTGAAGAGATCGTTGTTGTACCTAGAGAAAAAGAGCAGGGAGCTAAGAGAAGTGATTTGGGGGAGCGGCCTGTTGTGCACGCGTCTAGAGTGTGTGAGGAGGAGGCGTTGGGCGCCAAAGCTAAGGCAACCCCAATATTGACGAGCAAGCCAGGTGAGAGAAGGAGGAGTGCAGGTGTATGGGCTTGTCTTGGGCGCCACTAGCGAGCAAGCTAGGCGCGTTGGGGCACATGTTGTGGAGAGGCAAGTAGGCCAGGTAAGTGGGGCTGCTGCAATGATGATCGATGTTGGGAGAGCAAGCTGTTCGTCTTGGCAGTCTCAGACGAGCAGGATGGGTGCCTTAGCAGTCTTGTCAAATGGGAGTTCATGGAGAGCCCTTGCGCAAGAGCTGGATGCTGAGACCTAGATGACGACCCATGCCGCAAGGACAAAGATGAGGGGCACCAGAATGGGGGCACCATTGGCGTGGGGCGCTAACTGTGAGGCGCTATGGTGTCAGGTGGGATGCCCCATGTGTTGGGTGCTAATGGAGAGGCGCCCATGGTGCTAGGCACTACTACAGAGGCCCCTATGATGATGGGCGCTGCTGGAGAGGAGCCCATGGTATTGGGCGCTATTGGCTAGCGATTTTATTGATCGTGATGGAGGTGCATTGTTTAGGGGGCAAGCACAAGTAGAGCTTGTTTGCGCTAAGTGTTAAGCGCGGGATGCTACGACAACGAGGCGGCGGTGCTAGATGGACACAAAAAAATGAGGCTCGATTGTTGACATTCAATTTAATGTAATCCCTTGGGCTGCAGACGACCTGAGTTTCAAGAGCTTGGCTAGAGAGGGCAAAAACAATGTTTTTCCAAATATTAAAGTATCTAACATAATTACCTAGAGAGAGAGGTAGGCTGCTTGCACGAGAGTAAAGACAAAGTTTGAGGATTACTCATGAGAGAGCTACACATTTTGAAACTGAGCTTTTGACGACCCATGAGAGAGTTTTTAAGCTTGAGGTATAAGCTACTTGATTGAGAGCTAAGTAGATGTCAAGCTTTTGGCAACTTGCGAGAGAGCCGCTCAGCTGGAGATAGATTGCCTGCTTGAGAGCAGAGTAGAGGCCAAGCTTTCGGTGATCTGGAGGAGAGCCGCTCAGCTGGAGATGGGATGCCTGCTTGAGAACAGAGCAGAGGTCATGCTTTTGGCGACCCACGGGAGAGCCACTTAATTGGGAATAGGCTGCTTGCTTGAGAGCATAGCAGAGACCAAGCTTTTGACCGCCTGTGGGAGAGCCGCTTAGATGGAGATAGGTTGCCTGTTTGAGAACAGTACAGAGGCCAAGCTTTTTGGTGACCGGCGAGAGAGCCGTTAAGCTGGAGATATGCTGCCTGTTTGAGAATAGGGCAAAGGCAGGTCAAGCTTTTGGCAATTCGTGAGATGATTCACCTCGCCTAGACCTGTATATTTTGTCAGCATTCATATATTTTTGAGCTTTTGCCAATATTTCTAGCATGCTCTTTGGTGGTCACTTTATTACTGAAAAGAGGAAACTCGATGAGCGGAGGCCTCCTAGAAAGGCGGTCATGGTGACTTTGTCATTGGGCTTCTCGATTTGGAGGACCTCCTCATTAAAACGAGTAAGGTAACTCCTTAGACTCTCATCTCGATCTTGTTTTATGCTGAGCAAATGGATGTCAAGCTTCTGCTGGCGACGTCCACCAATAAACTGTGTCAGAAAGGATCTGCTTAGTTCGACGAAGGAGCCTATGGAGGCCGGAGTGAGTTTGGTGAACTATTGTCGCGCTGATCCCTTCAAGATAGTTGGGAATACCCTACACATAATTTTGTCGGGGACGTTGTGCAGCTGCATTAAGGTCTTAAAAGTTTTGAGGTGGTCCAATGGATCCTTCATACCGTCAAGGGTTTCGACGGATGACATCTTGCATTTTTGAGGAAGTGGGTAGTTCGCCACGTCAGGTTTGAAAGGTATGTAGTTCGACTTACGAGGTAGTCTACCGTCTCGAGTCCTTGTGCCTTCATGGCATTGAAGACGTCTCCCAATTGATTTTGCACCCCTTTAATTTTTTTGTCCCAGTGATTGGGAGGAGGTCCTCTAAAATTATCACGGATATAGCTCTCATGTTCCATGTTTTGATTTTCACCCTCCACCATGGGGAGCAGGAGTAAGAGTTGGAGGAGGAGGTCCCTCATGATAGGCCCCCCCTATGTGGGGCGCCTAAGGGAGCTCCCATAGGTGGGGCGCCCAGATGAGGAGCGCCAAGGTGAGGAGCTCCTTTATGACCTGGGAGTGGAGCTCCCTGGCTTGAGGTCCATATTACGCTCCTCCTTGTTGCCCGAGCATCATTTGTAGAATCTGTTGATTCTGGACTATAAGCTCCTGAATTGTGTCCAGCATCTGCTGCACATTTGGGACAGGATTGGTAGGTAGAGGAACAACCTCCTCCTCTCGTGGTGGGATGTCTTTAGGTTGACTCATGGATCTCGGCGGTGATCGCCTTTGATTCAGCAAAGAAAGTGTTTACGTGAGAATTTTATGTTTCCCACAGACGACGCCAAACTAATGATGCACAAAATTGGTTTGCACACCACCTGCCAATTAAATAATATAAAATGTAGTAAAGTAGAGGGAAAGAGAAGACAAGGTTTATAGTAGTTCGGTCAATATGACCTACATCCACTTTGAATGACAAGGGTGGCCAAAATTTTATTATCTCCGGTGTGGAGGGAGATCACAAGATTACAAGCTTTGAGAGGGGAGGAGAGAATTATGTTCAAATGAGTTTGATGCCCCCTAAGTGTTGGTGGGGTTTACAATTTATAGTGACTTAGTATAGTAATTGAATAACTAATCAAACGGTCATAACGGGTTGGGGCCGTTTAATAGTTATAACGGATTAGAGTGACTTTAACGGTAATTAAATAACTTGGCGACCTCTCCTCTCCTCAACGGGTAAGGAAGTTATGATGCTCTCCAAAGGACTTGGTCAAAGGATGAGAGAAGGTTGACTCTCTCCGAGTGGTAAGGGTAAGGCTCCTGGATGCTCTTTTACTCCAAGGTGGCGATGAGGCTCTTGGATGACCTTGCATGCTCTTCTGCTGATATAGTTCCTTATCTTGATGAACTTGTCTGGGTTAACCATATTAAGTTGGACTTGTTGGATCTTTTGGATATGGGTCATAAACTCGAACCGGGCTTATAATTTGAGTTAGGTCCCTTGAGCTTGGCCCATCAACTATGACTCTCTTACTTAAATGAGTAAAAGTGTAACTATTCAAAAAAAATGACAAATTTTATTTTACCACCTCATAGTTTGTCTTTGTAGTAACTTTACCCCAAGGGGTAAAATAGAATTTGTCCAAAAAAAAATCACTAATTGATTAATGTTACTGTTATATTCCATATTTTTTTAAGCTGGTTTTTCAAGAAAAGGAAGTTGTTTGAAGACGAGGAACCACTTGTCACTTTTGCAGCTGCACTATTTGGGGTGGGTCCATTATCCATTCGGATGGGCCTAGCTATTCGGACGATGTAAAGAGAAGTATACATGATTCATGTTCTCGTAGCGTAAACTAACCGGTATGTGATAATCCGTAGTAGTTTTGTGAGTAAAACTGAGAGAAAAGAATTTTAAAAAATAAGAGTAATTTAAGAGAGAGAGAATTGTAACTCTTTTTGAGAAAAAAAATTAAATTACAATTCTCCCTCTTAAAAGAGAAGAGAGAGAACTGTAATTGAAATAAGTTTTGTTATGACTAGATTTGTTTTCCATAAGGTAATTGTCACCTCAATGAAGGCAAGGTCAAGATAAGTTTTGAGGTGGCTTTGGTCTCCGGTTGGGTTGGGTTGGGTTTGCACCAGGCCATCCACTGTTAATGCATCATGTGCCGAATGTAGTATAATATTGGGTAAAAATATAAAATATGTTCAAAATGTTCATATATTCCTTTAATGTGTGTTCGTAAAAAAAAAGGGTTTTTTTTTTATTGTGGGGACAATTTTTTAGACTTATTTGAAGAAAAATAAATGGATAAATTGATTACTCTACGAAGTTTAATTTTAATAAAGCATATTGTGTTTAGGTACAAAATTCAAATGAAATCAAAATCTTTTTACCTAAATACCCTCTCTTAAATTATGCATGTTTGATTGACAGTTATATATCTAGTCAAATATGTAAAGATTTCATTAAACTCTCTCACTATCTCTCCCCTATTTTCTCTCCATCTTTCTCTCTTCCTGTTAGTTTCCCCATCTCTCTCCTATTTTCTATCTCTATTTATTACTAATAATTTTTTTTTTTTCAAATATGTAACGATTTGATTTATTTTTTCTTCTCTCTTTCTCCCGTATTTTCTCTGTCTCTCTCTCTCCCTCCTATTTTCTCTAAACATTTCTCTCTCTCCCATTTTTTTTCTCTATTTAATCAACATTACAACAATACAATTACACTAATCAGTCACGTCAATCAGTTACAATTGTCCTATAATACACCAAATAGTTACTCATGTGTTCTACTAAACCAAACAGATACACAAAATAATGATATCAACTCAATTTGTTACTCAGTTGTTTATATAAACTAAATAGTTGTATCATTTAGTATCGTGAAACCGTTATACCAATTATATATATACCAAATTTAGTGTAATGGTAAAGTTTTTTGTGTAATGATAAACTCATTTTTGTGTATATAATTGGTATAACCATGTCGTAATACTAAATGGTGTAACTCTTTGATTTATGTAAATAATTGAATGACAAATTGGGTTGATATTGTAATTTCGTATAATTTTTTAGTGCAACTGCTTGGTTTATTGGAATACATTAGTAATTATTTGATGTATTGTAGGGTATTGTAATTAATTAGTGTAACTGATTAATGTAATTGTGTTGTTGTAACGTTGATATAAGGAGAGAGAATAAGAAAATAAGGGGAGAAGGAAGGAGTGATAGAAAAAAATAGGGGAGTGAGAGATGAAAAAATTAAATCAAATCTTTATATATTTAAAAAAAATTATAAACATGAGAGAAAGAGAGAGAGAAAGATATATAGAGAGAAAGTAGGGATGAGAGAGTAATGGAGAGAGAGGAGAGAGAGAGAGTAATAGAGTAATAAATGACATTTTAGTCTTTTTTTTTTTAAAAATATACACTAAGAGCCAAATAAGTT